AGTTTGTATCAAGTGACAGAAGCTAGAACTTCCCTCTATTTACAAGCAGTCTTGATAAAATGACCGATATTACATTTTTAAAGCGATTTTACTCTATCCTCTTTGTTCGGAATCTCATTATTTTTGCTATTAGGATGTTTTCATGCCAGTATGATCTTTTCGTACTCTCACGAAGCGTTTGGTTCATACCGAACAGAATTCTTACCTAAACAGTCCGGCCCATGTTCAACGGTCGCTGAATGGTGTCTTCAGCCTTGAGATATTCAAGCACCTTTTTTTACTTCGTACATATGGAGTGTTTTCTCCATTTCCTGGTGTTACAAACAAATAAAACGACGTAATTTATTCACAACATTGATTTAAAGGATTTTGTCGAATCTGGTATAATCTTCTCCATCCAGAAAAGTCGGGGGCTTTCAGCACGGGCTGACGTCGGGCCTCCCTCGGCCAGCATGGCTAGTGCAACCAGCTCTGCCGCGGTGAGCACCAGCTCCGGGCGCTGTAGCAGGGGACGGTCCTCGCTGGCGGGGACGCGGTGGGGATTGGGATCGGCATTGACTCGCCGAGGGACGCTTTGATCAGTAGCACAAGGAAGGCGGCCATTTCGCTCACAACGCAGTTATTCACTAGGGGATATATAATTTTATTATATATTCATTTTTATATTATAATAATTATTCTAATATAATTCGTATATAGCAAAATAAAACGGCGATTGAAGAGAAGTGTCTTATACATAGTCGTATATAGCACATCGCGCGCGCGCGTATAAAACAGTTTTGTATTTCTAAATACAGAACTGTTTGCTGAGAATATCTTCCCGCTTATATTAACTCCAAATGTATTTGTTGTGGTTTTCAGGTTCAACTTACTCCAGAGTTACAAATCAAAGTGGAAAAAGAACTCGCCCAAAGTGAAGACTCTTCTCCCAAATTTTAAAATATATATATTCACAAAAACAATTAATATTAGTAACAATATTAAAATAATAAAATTTGATTTTTAAATTAGTTATGAAATTTAATCAAGATTAAAATATTATTAAACATTTTGAAAAATCAATAAATTAATTCCTTGTATCAATGTTGAGTAAAGTTAATCAGACCTCCAGGGAAAAATTTCTTTTCAAAACATTTTTATTCTCTAACTTTCTGGCACGGACGTCCTTCTACAGGAGGAAAAGGTTTCACCTTTTCCTTGGAGCCCTGATTAATTTTACTCCACTTAAAAAATGATATTTATCAAATTACAAAACTATTTTAGACGCGTAATATTATTTTTAAAATAAAACAATTTCTACTGCCCTCACTGCAATAGTTCATCTAAAATACCCATTCGAAGAGTCAAGCATCAGTATCACTATAAAAGGAAGTTCCAAAAATGCAATATAACAGCGGTATGGTAGATTAAACTGTTGAAACCGCTGAGAGGGTTCACCACTGATGTGCCAGGCCCTCCCTTTGATTTTTCCATTGCAGTAAGGGCAGTAGAAATTGTTTTATTTTAAAAAGAATATTACGCGTCAAAAATAGTTTTGTAATTTGATAACAGATGGCCCGCTAGTGCATCGTAATATAATGATATTTATAATAAAGGACGACTATATTATCCCTCTTGAAATTTGTTAATTAATTTAATGCTCTAACCTATAAATATATTTGTATGGGATATGTAATAAAATTATTATTATAAATAATATGTGCATTTGGTTTATTTTTTTACCCAATAAGACCATTAAAATTCTAATACTTTTGAGAAATTCATGTTCTGTTAAAGATATTTCGTGAAGATATTTAAGTAAAATGTAAAATGGAAATGTTTGGGATAGGTAGGCTTATCTCCCGGTGTTCAGTGGAAGGGTGGTCTAAACCATTGGTTTCCGACTGCTACGACCCATGATCGAATCTTGCATTGGGCAATTTTTTTTATTAAGAAAATTGTTCCAATGGCCACCTATTCTTGAAAAAGTCCAACCTCACCAACAAGTGCAAGTAACCAAAAGGTGCTCTGGCATATTTGTAAGTACAAAAGTCGGACTGCTTTTTACATTGTAGACATGTGGTGCGCTTACAGTAAAAGCAGTCGCTAACTACTCACCATGATTATTATGGCCTGTACCACGTATATATATTGAGAAATCATGTTCTGTTAAAGATATTTCGTGAAGATATTTAAGTAAAATGAAAAATAGGTATGTTTGGGAAGGGTACGCTTATCTACAGGGAGTCTGTGGAAGGGTGGTCTGACCATCGGTTTCCGACTGCTACGACCCGGGATCGAATCCTGATATAAATAAAGAAACGTATTGCGAAATGTTTTGGATAATTTAAAATAGTAAATCGCACTTTATCCAATATCTGAATATGTACCATGTATACTAGGGATAATTAAAAAACACTTATCTCCTTCATGATGAATGTGTCCAGAGAATTCGACAATTCAAATTACCATAGAGCTACATTTATTTTTTTGTTTTGTTTTCTTATAGTTTGCATTCGAAAATATATCACTGATGATGGGGTTTAAAATCTATAAAAGAAAGTTTAATACTTGTATAACTACACACCGAGTGAGGGCTGTGTGTGTTTTATTAATTAATATTGCATATATAGACCTCTGGTTTTATTGGTTTTTGTATTTTAAGCTGAGAAAAATTGTGCTCGAAAAGCAAATAAATGGAAAATTTCTATCATTAGAGAAGCCAAATTTTTAGGTTTTGTTGAACACCACCGTTTTTATTGTTTTTTTTTTTTGTATTTCAAGCTGAGAAGAATTGTGCTCGAAACAAAAATATATGTGATTTCTACCATTATAGAAGACAAAATATTTAGGTTTTGTTGAACACCACTATCAAGAATAAATCTTCAAATGCATACTATATAAGCAGAGTCAAAATAGATTAGTTAAGTGTTCTGATAGAGTCAATTGTTGAAATCGCCGAGAAGGTGCACCAATTATGAGAAAAACCATTTTTTGACTCACTTGTTTCAAGAAAACGCCATTAAATATTGAGATGAATGTTTTTATAAAATAAAAGGATTTAAAGGCGCGAATGTTTCTTTTATAATAATACAAACTTCTACTGTCCTTACTGCGATGAAAAAATATATTGTGAGGGCTTGGCTCATCAGTGGTGAACCCTCCCAGCGGTTTCGCCAATTTAATCCACCAGACCGCTTCTCAGAGCTCTAATACTGTATTGGATCATTCTGCTTTAATATGCTACACTGAAGGATGGAATCTTTTAAATGGTTTCCGACTCATCTTATAATCCAATCTTATAATTTTTTGTATTAATGAATGTTTTTAATTGATTGTTTGTCCCTCCAGGATGATTTCATGGAGAATATTACCCTGTAGGCAAAGAAGGTTACCAAGAGAACCTTAAGTTGGGACTTAGGTAGCTGAGTATATCTTCGGTTTTGATTATTCTCTTCTGCGACATCGATTGAAGCCTTGTTTACAGGAGAAGCCATATCCTTAGACCTTATATAGCAATATATATTTTCAGAAGGACAATTATTACTTTACATGTTTCTTGGCGTTTTAATTTCTAAACTAGTGTTATTTATTTAAATAAGAACATTAAGCCTCCAGGGAAATCTTATCGAATTGTGTGAATTGTATACAAAATTCAAATTTTAAAATTTCTCTTCAATAATCAAACCATCAACCAATACAATAAAGCCCCTACTGTTCTTAATGTTAAATTCACGGTTTTAATCCTTTAATTTAGTGGAGAAAGGTGTCTATTCTCTTCTCAAGGTCTCACATCATTTTGGATCAATTTCGCCTTCTTTTAATTAATTAACGTATCAACCTATATTGTTTTTTTTTTTTGCTTATCCCTAGTACACGTGGTTAAGGCCTTGATAATCATGGTGAGTAGAAGTAGAAAATTGCTTTTAAAGTAAGTGCACCACATGTCTACACATGTGAAAAGCAGTTCGACTTTGCACTTATAAATGTTCCAGAGCCCCGTATGATTACTTGCACTCGCTGGTGAGTTTGGACTTTTCCAAGAATCAAGGGCCATTGGAGCATTTTTTTAATCAGAAAAAAGTGCCCAAGGCGGGAATCGAACCCGGTCGCAGCGGTCGAAAACCAACGGTTTAGACCATCTTTCCACCGACCCCCTTTTGAAGGATGAGTAAGAATAGACTTTTCAAATAATTCGAGCGTTTCTTTTATTGTTAAATAGGTTTATACATGTATTAACACCTTCTTGTCACTGCACATTATTCCTAACACCAAATAAAACACGTAAGATTGATAGAGAAAAGTGTGAGGTATTTTTTACCAACATACAAAATAATTTTTGATAAGCTCTCAGAGTTTCTTTTTATTTGAACAATCCAAATATGAAAATCTTGCAAATCATATGAATATCATTGAGTAAGACAAATAGGTATTTATAAATGACTGCGGCGTATAATTATAAAGCTATACAAACAGTTTAACCGCATAAGTTTCTTTTTTATTTATGAAAAATCATTTTTAATTTCAAAGAGAAATATTTGATATTTCTAACTTTTGGATGACGTATGAAAAGGTTGAATATATGAAGAGCGATGGTCTATATATGAATGGATGACGTATGGAAGGGTGAAAAATATGAAGAGTAATGGCGAACGGAAAAATAAAAGTGTCCAGGAGCGGGAATCGAACCCACAACCTTCTGCTTACCGGGCAGGTGCCATATCCACTAGGCTATCCTGGACGTATTTCTCCGTTCTTAACTAATATTTAAACTGACTAATAATACTTATAAATGACTGCGGCGTATAATTATAAAGCTATACAAACAGTTTAACCGCATAAGTTTCTTTTTTATTTATGAAAAATCATTTTTAATTTCAAAGAGAAATATTTGATATTTCTAACTTTTGGATGACGTATGAAAAGGTTGAATATATGAAGAGTGATGGTCTATATATGAATGGATGACGTATGGAAGGGTGAAAAATATGAAGAGTAATGGCGAACGGAAAAATAAAAGTGTCCAGGAGCGGGAATCGAACCCACAACCTTCTGCATACCGGGCAGTTGCCATATCCACTAGGCTATCCTGGACGTATTTCTCTCTCTTCGTAACTAATATTTAAACTGACTAATAATACTTATAAATGACTGCGGCGTATAATTATAAAGCTATACAAACAGTTTAACCGCATAAGTTTCTTTTTTATTTATGAAAATTCATTTTTAATTTCAAAGAGAAATATTTGATATTTCTAACTTTTGGATGACGTATGAAAAGGTTGAATATATGAAGAGCGATGGTCTATATATGAATAGATGACGTATGGAAGGGTGAAAAATATGAAGAGTAATGGCGAACGGAAAAATAAAAGTGTCCAGGAGCGGGAATCGAACCCACAACCTTCTGCTTACCGGGCAGGTGCCATATCCACTAGGCTATCCTGGACGTATTTCTCCGTTCTTAACTAATATTTAAACTGACTAATAATACTTATAAATGACTGCGGCGTATAATTATAAAGCTATACAAACAGTTTAACCGCATAAGTTTCTTTTTTATTTATGAAAAATCATTTTTAATTTCAAAGAGAAATATTTGATATTTCTAACTTTTGGATGACGTATGAAAAGGTTGAATATATGAAGAGTGATGGTCTATATATGAATGGATGACGTATGGAAGGGTGAAAAATATGAAGAGTAATGGCGAACGGAAAAATAAAAGTGTCCAGGAGCGGGAATCGAACCCACAACCTTCTGCATACCGGGCAGGTGCCATATCCACTAGGCTATCCTGGACGTATTTCTCCCTTCGTAACTAATATTTAAACTGACTAATAATACTTATAAATGACTGCGGCGTATAATTATAAAGCTATACAAACAGTTTAACCGCATAAGTTTCTTTTTTATTTATGAAAATTCATTTTTAATTTCAAAGAGAAATATTTGATATTTCTAACTTTTGGATGACGTATGAAAAGGTTGAATATATGAAGAGCGATGGTCTATATATGAATGGATGACGTATGGAAGGGTGAAAAATATGAAGAGTAATGGCGAACGGAAAAATAAAAGTGTCCAGGAGCGGGAATCGAACCCACAACCTTCTGCTTACCGGGCAGGTGCCATATCCACTAGGCTATCCTGGACGTATTTCTCCGTTCGTAACTAATATTTAAACTGACTAATAATACTTATAAATGACTGCGGCGTATAATTATAAAGCTATACAAACAGTTTAACCGCATAAGTGTCTTTTTTATTTATGAAAAATCATTAATGATTTTTCATAAATAAAAAAGAAACTTATGCGGTTAAACTGTTTGTATAGCTTTACAAATAGGTATCTTTGGATAGAAGAGGAGGAGGGATAATATTCTAGTAATACGGTAGATGTACAATGAAAAAAAAGGGAATCTATTATTATAAATATAATAAACCTTAAACTAAGTTATCCTGTAGATAGAGGCTGCCTGGCCGGCATTCATATTTATTTATATTTAAAAGACACCCCGGCTAGTGAATTTTTTCATTCTCTCAGTCTTGATTAACTTGAATAAAGAGGTTGTCTGGAAGAATATTCATAATTCTGGCCGAAGTGTTTTTCAATTTAAAGAACTTAGTTATTCTTAGAGAGAGATTTATTATAAAATATATTTATGTTAACCCCTTTATGTTTCATGTTAAATTTTAAATAAGAACAGGCTGAATTAATGTTTAGTAATTTCTGTTCCACTAGATGGCGCTCTTCCATCTAATAAATCACATATGTTCCTGGTCAGGATATGCCTTTTGTATCAAATTTGATTATGATTAGAATTATTTTTTCGAATATATATAGGGTAAAATTCAATATTTAAATATATTTTTTAATTATTATTTTTTAATATATATAGTTTTTCAAAAGGTAGCGGGGTAAAATAAAAATGATATTTCCTTGGTCACGTCGCTCAATCTTATACAGAATCACCTCAGGAAGGAAGCATAGAAGGAGATCCTATAGTCCAGGCAGCGTAAAAGCCAACAGCCTCCAGGTCCGACGCATGTCCAGTGGACACAGAATCCACTGTGCATAGTTTGTGTGTGTGTATATATATATATATATATATATATATATGAAATAAGGCTTATTTTGGATTGTAATAAGATTATTTATTAATCCTTATTTTTAAATATATATATGTAATATTATATGCGGGGAAATATTACTCTTGGAGGTTGATGATTGTTGTTGGTGGTGGCGCAGTCGTGGTGGCTGAGTGATAAGGTGTACACACTAGGGGAAATAAGCCAGGATACTTGATGGGTTGAAATAAGGCAACTGGTCGGAGGAAAGAAAGGCTTGAGAGAAGGTGGAGCGGATTGGCTATTGGCTATCTATTCACATGGCGGTGATTGACTTAGCTGAAAAGGATGAGCGGGGGAGGTCTCTAGAGCAGGTGTTACCTCGGTGGGAGCTAGCTAACTACTGCCAATTCTTGGTTCTCGATTTAACACGAGAACCCTTCTTCTTTCTCATTGGTTGACCTGTGTGACGTGGAAGTTCCCTATAGGCTCGAAGCTGAAATAGCTGCTTTCTGATTGGCTCGTTCTAATTCTTTGTACTTGGACGTGTTCTGACCTGTCCCGGAAATACTGTGTCGTTGAACTCGAACTTTTACGAGTTCCGGGATAATAAAAACTGGTAATGACCATCTTTCTCTAAGCCTTCTTTCTAGGCCTTTCTTCTAGGCCTTTCTTGCCTCCAATGTTACCTTGTTCTTTATTGAAACACAAATCATACATTTCCATACATATTGGATTGGGTTGGCATCTATGTAGTTACAAATTATGACATATATATATTATGGACTGCTTTATATTCAGAATATATATATATATATATTATTCTGAAAATAGAGCAATCCATATTTTTATATTTGTTCATAAAGGGCACATCTTGGATTCAATAAATAATCTTTTATTTCCGATATATCAATGGGCTAAACGGCCATCTTTTTCAAGGATCTCATTCCCTCTGGCGGCAAGCCGCGCATTACACTTGAGACACGGGCGTCTCACAATCTCTTCGGGCGAAAATCATCCAAATGAAAATGTAATGTATACAAATAAATATCGTACAATACTAATTAAAATAAATGAATAAATAGAGTGAAAGGTAACTATCTATATATACAAAATAAATATTCGGCTATTGCATTATGAATGAAGACATTTCACTGAAGTTCGTATATACATAGAGGTTCCTATTCTAGAAGCATCTAAATTGTGTGTACATGTCCGGTATATCGATCTTTCGGTTTATGCTATTTCTGTCTTCCAAAGAACTCCAACTCTCCAAGAATAGCCTGCTGTGCTTCTCTTTTATATCTTGGTGTATTATTGATGTTTGTTCAAAGTCTGGAATGTGGCCATTGATGAGAGCATGTTCTACTAATAAGGAGGTCGGGTTATGGTGTTTTAGGGCTGATTTGTGCTGGTTGATTCTTTCTATTAATGGTTTACCGGTTTCTCCTATGTAGACGGCTTGGCAAGACTTGCATGGTATTTTGTATATGACATTGGTTCTATTGTTTGGTTCAGTGACCTTTTTTGTATCAGGATGGCGGAGGATGTTGTTAAGATTCGAGGTAGATTCCAATCTACCTCGAATCTTAACAACATCCTCCGCCATCCTGATAAAAAAAGGTCACTGAACCAAACAATAGAACCAATGTCATATACAAAATACCATGCAAGTCTTGCCAAGCCGTCTACATAGGAGAAACCGGTAAACCATTAATAGAAAGAATCAACCAGCACAAATCAGCCCTAAAACACCATGACCCGACCTCCTTATTAGTAGATCATGCTCTCATCAATGGCCACATTCCAGACTTTGAACAAACATCAATAATACACCAAGATATAAAAGAGAAGCACAGCAGGCTATTCTTGGAGAGTTGGAGTTCTTTGGAAGACAGAAATAGCATAAAGCCTGGAGTATAGGAGCTCTTTCTATGCTTCTTTCCTGTGGTGAATCTGTATAAGATTGAGCGACGTGACCAAGGAAATATCATTTTTATTTTAACCCTCCTACCTTTTAAAAAAATATATTTATTTAAAACATAAAAGGGATAAATATATTTAATTATTGAATTTTACCCTATATATATTTGAAAAATTATTCTAATCATAATCAAAATTTGATACAAGGATTCATATATATGATGGAGTTCTATAAAAATTGGGAAAAAAAGAAGAACCAACTCTGAAACTTGACGTTGCTCTCTGGTATGACAACCTAGAAGGATGCTCATGGCATGTCACAAATAAATATTACATAGGAGTACTGTGAGGATGTCCTGCATGCTCAGACCATCATCGGTCATCTCATATATGCTGAATGGATACCATCAGGTTTTAACCCTTCTCATATTTGTTTCAGAAATATATACAAGTATCTAAAGAGACAAAGGTCGCCTCTCAAGTCAAAATATACGTCAAAACTAGACGCCATCTATTGACCTTCACCGCAAGCTAGCGGCCTCGGGTCGGTGACAAAGACACAACACTAGCTTTGGCAAACTGAAAAGCGTCCACCTAGAGACCATGTTTCGGGCTAATGACCCTCGTCAGGCGACCTTTGTCTCTTTAGATCAATATCCTCCCGGCAAATTTTCCATCTATATACAAGTATATTATAATACAATAGTACAAAATAGTACATAAGTACAAGTATATAATATATACTTGTATATGTTTAGATAACATAATATTGAATATATGATATAATTAAAATAGAAGATCATTGATATAGCTTGAACTAATTCCTATGTGATCTGTGTTTCAACGACTAACGATCTTATTCAATATTTTACAATACTGACAGGAATAACTTTTGGTTTAAGTAAATCTAACATATCTAATTCTTTTTATGTAACAATCCATATTATAGAACCGAAAAATGAAATGATTTTTTATAGAGGATTGACGTTTATAAAGGGATGAATTAATATTGTTATATATATATAAGCACATGTGCTTTTCAGAAGGCAGAGCGCCATTTGGTGGAACAGAAATCAACTAAACATTGATTTAGCCTGTTT